TGTGTGTGTGTGTGTGTGTGTGTGTGTGTGTGTGTGTGTGTGTGTGTGTGTGTGTGTAAGTTCGTATGTTCACGAGAAAAAGGGGACGGGGTGCTCGTTTCTTGGTGCAGACTATTACAAGAACATTACTATTGGACTTGATCATGTTGCTCCTCCCAAGACTCCAGCAGACAGGACCACCCACGCACAATATGAAAGTTCAGGATCACACGTCGCACAGTTGAACAAATCCTGGATGAGGGCAGGAACCAGAACTCTTCCAGAGATCCGAGATAAAAATCTATCAGTAAGCGGATGAATATAAATTAAAGAAACAGTTCAATCATGTCGTTATGTTTTCCACCCCAAGTACAAGATGATTGCCTGTGCTGAAGAAGCAGCCTGGTCCTTGCACTAATGGTTAACTCCAAGGGAACAGAAATCTCGCGGGGATCTCAGGTGTCAGCAAACAGAAGACCAGCTATCCGGCATTCTTTTTGCCTGGTCAAACAAACAGTTACCGTAACCACAGTCTCGGTCAATACCGTGATCTGAACGGCACAGTTCCAGAGGTATATCAATAGACTTCAGCTTACTTTTTCCGGTAGTTGAGCGTTGCTTTTTGTGGGTGGTTAGTGGGTTAAAGGTTTGCTTCTTCTTTCCAATCAAACATCAATCGTTCTTATATCTTCTCCTTCTTTTGTTTATCACTCTCTTGTAACACTGTAAACTTCGGCAGTTGTTGTGTTACAAGTGATGTAAAACTAAATTTAAAACGTAGCCTCTCGTAGCTTCCTGCAATAAAACACCATGTCTCTGGTCATTCTGCCTGCCTCGGTTGTTTTGATTCCATGACGGGCTAGAACTATATAACCATCACTCAGAATACCATTGTTATTCCAATACAGTATTTGTTCATAAATTTGTCCAAATCTTTTCCAGTCTTAATTCATTCACATTCACTAAAACCAAACAATCCGAAAGATCGAAATGCACTGTACCTAGAAAGGAAGAAAAATACTGTC